CTTGAGCAAAAGAATAGACTGCTGAGAGAATTGAAGGGGTTTTAACGCTTTGTTTTGATCCCCTGTCTATCCAGAGGACTGTAATATAGGCTGAGTTTACACACAATGTAAATGTTTTTCTTTTTCTTTACGCAAATCTGATATCTACTTTGAAGCACAGTAGAGCAACTTCATAAGTGGTATCACACACGAGATCAGTGCAATCAATGCTGAAAGCAAAAATGAATGCAGTGTGAATGTTGAGTATGAATGGACTGAGAGACACATATCACAGGCTGCATCTCCTTTGTCACGTAAACCTGTTGGATGCAGACTGGTCAACCATTCCTCTTATCACACGAACAAGCACAGACCCCGATGTCAGCGTGCACAAAGTGGGTAGCCATACTCTGACTCTCATCCCGTTCGCTTCACTGTTCACTTGGTTTGTTGTGAAGTCTATGAGTGGTTTAGTCATAGAGCGCAATCATTTTGGCTTTGATATCTGCTGCCTTGAGGTTTTTCTATTTGATTTTATAACTATTTTTTACATTTTCGTAGCATTGCAGATGTGTGCGCTGGCATATCTGTCTTTGTGCCACTGGTTTTTATTTGTGTCTGCCTTTGTGAGTGTGTTGGTGTGTTTTCTGTACGGCTGTCATACGGAGAACAGAATAAGAAGTGTTTGTGAGCTTGTAGCTGTGAGCTCAGTCTTCAATACAACCTGCACAGATTAAGACTGAAAAGGTCTGAATGTAAATCAATGAATTATCAATCCTTACTCCCCAATCAATTTACAAAATGATACCACTGCGCAGGTGGAAGCACTTACACACAAGTCCAATTATTCTGATGAAGATCCTCAGTCAAATGTACTTTCATAAATTACAAGTATTTAATTCCTTTCATTGACAGCATGTGTCCACCCCTAACCCTGCTATTTTCTGCATTTGAATTCGGTACAAGTAGAAAACCAAAGTCTATCTAAAACCTACAAGTGAGTTTTTAGCCAATTTATGATTGGACTCCTATTGCATAATACACAATAGTTGGCTAAATTAGTTTGGCAAAAGTGCAGCAAACTAAACACTGACATAATATTACCTTCCTGAATTGGTACTTATGAAGTCCATACAACAAAACAAAAAGTTGAAAGAGACTAAATGGCTGTGTAGCAATGAGAGAAACTGCAGTCTTTATATAATTCGCATAACCTATACATCATATTGATAACAGAAACTTTGAATTCAAACACACCATAAAAATATATAAACACAAGGCATGATGCTTACGTTTTGATGGAAAAAACGTTACCTTCCAATTCTATTGATCTATCCTTTAGCTTTCTTTACAGAAACTATGGCCTTATATATATGTACTTAGTTCACAGCAGCTCATGTTCTTTGGGTTCTACCATTGAAACCTCATTTCCTCAATGATGGTAATTTTACTTCAGTTCATACCTGTTATTGGCTGTTTGATTAAATCAGCTTTCTTTCTCTTAGTTCAGTGTTTGTGTTTCTTTCTTAGAGTAGAGCCAAAATAAATATCCTACAGTTCATACTCAGGAACAGTGTGTGTGTGTGTGTGTGTATATATGGATCTGTGTGTGCGTGTGCATGTCCACAAACACATGGTATGTGTGTGTACTGAGCAGCAGCACTTTGATGAAGCATCCAGCGGGAGTGTGGTGGTGTCCTTGATCCTCAGCTGTTAGATTGAATGGAAATATTCAACTGACTGTTTCTCATCTCTCCTACAGATTTATCATTAAGAAAACACATTATATACCAGGGCAGGGAATGTAAACACACATCGGGCAAACTATCTGAACTTTATTTTTGATGACTGATAGAGCTACTATACAGAGAACGACAGACAGAGTTGATCATGTGTACAGTAACGTGTATGTGTGTGTGTGTGTGTGTGTGTGTGTGTGTGTGTGTGTGTGTGTGTGTGTGTGTGTGTGTGTGTGTGTGTGTGTGTGTGTGTGTGTGTGTGTGTGTGTGGATATTTTAACCCTTATGTAGCCTATGTACTGTATGTGCCACAACGCCTCCTTCTTCAATCATTCCATTAACTCAACAATATCAAAGTGGCCCTGCTATGGTTTTTGTCAGTTCAGGTATGGATCTAATGTTCATGAATGTGCTACAGAGAACATCCACACACATGTTTCCTCCTCAGAGTTGAATTTGGCTTACACACAACATGCAGTGTGTGTGAATATGAACTGCAATGTATCACAACAGCCATTTACTTAGTATAACTCCTGAAAGTTGTTTATTGTAAACCGAGTAACCAGACTGTTCTCTTCTGTTTGTGTTTGACTGCTCAGGCTAAACACTGCCCAGTGACTGTTCTACAAAAAGATGTGGTCTTATATTCTTCACTGTTACAAAATAGAGGTACTGTTTCATGCGTTTGTCTTCTTAACCATTTCCTCTCTTGTGGTCTGTATTTGTCTTTTCTTTAAGTCATTTTATTATTTTCAAATGCAGACCTGATACGACGCAGACACAACTGTGGCATGTAGGATTGATGATTAAAGAAGTAAATTCATATTTTGGGAAGTACACATATTCAAAACAAGAAGTAGGTCTGCCCCCCAGTAGTGTAAATCCAACGCAATCTGTATCTTACACACTCTGTGAGGGTGGACCACGAGTGTGTGGGTGTTTATATTAAAAGTACTTACTAATACGCTGGACCCCCTCCAAATTCGAGCTTTTCAGAGCCTTTCTAAATGGTGTTGACAGTAAATTCACCTCCTTGTGGTGATCTATGGAATTGCACTTTGTTATATTGGGTGGGGGGTGTTTTAGTCTAACTAATACACAGATGTAATGTACAGCATGTCTGAGAGAAGCTGTGCTCTAACAGTACAGCCTCTCAGTGATTTGTAAATAGCCAAAGTCTTCCATTATAATGTTGGTATGACCTTGTTAGCGGTGGAGAGGAAAAACACTGATCGCCATGTACAGACCTTTGAAGTGAAGTTTAATTTTAAATATCAGCATTTATTTCAAAGGATATTGCTTCACCATATATTTTCTTTCGCACCAGCTCAAAACCAGGATATTATGGGAGTAAAGACTTTTTAAAAAATATTTTGTAATTCGGGTCTGTTTGTTGGATAAATCTCAGCTAAGATACAGTATGTCTTACGTACAGTATGTAGTAATTATCAATAATGTTCCCTTATTTGATGGTGTTGAGGTTTGCTAGTCAGAAACTGTTACATCTTTACTTCAGATTTTACATTTGATCAAATATATTCAAAGAAATAAAAAAGAGTCTAAAGAAAAAAATGCAGTGTGTTTTTTTTTTTGTGAGAATTGTGTGTTTTGGCAGGCTTTGTATTTGAATATGTGGTTTGGTAGCTGTGCGACTGTGATAAATGTTTCCACTAGAGATAAGCCTGATAATATCTTCACCTCTGCTCGCTTGCTTTGGTATTTCCCACAAGAAACTTTCAGAGTCTGAATACCAGTACTGAAAAGTGAAGTACGGACTATTTGGGCAGAGTAATGGCAGAATTTCTGGCTGAAAAATGCTGTTTACCCCTTTTCCCCTAAATATAATTTATATTTTGATATGGTTTACAAATAATAAAACTTTTTGTTTTTTTACTTTTAGTGAGTATATTTGTACTTGAATTTTTTTTTTTTTAAAGAAATAATATCTCCCTTTATATTCTGACCTCTTTCTTCTGAAACATACACTATGTTTATATACAGTGTATATATACACATACTGAATGTATTAAAGAGTATAGGCCACTCTGATAAAAACTAAAGGTAGAAAACAAAACAATTTAGGATAAACATGAATATCATCAATGGAATGCAATGTGTTGATTGATGAGGTGAAGCATTAGAAAGACATTTCCTATGAGCAGCATAACTTCTGTTCACATATTGTTGAACTGCTTCAGTCACATGACGCGCCAGTCTATGTGACGCGCACCATAAAAGGTCACGGCCTGAATGAGTTCAGCAGCGCTGCACATTGGGCCGAGAACATGCACACAGGCCTTCAGTTGAAGGGAGGAGCAGATAACATGTAAATCACTCAAGCTGTGTTTTAAAATGATCTGGGTTACTAGCTTCCCCGCTGATGAATAGTAATTCTATTTGCAGTTTAATAACTCATTAACTACACGTGGTGTTTGAATTGATGCAATTATTGAAATATCAAGCGACTAATTTAATAACTGCAGCAGTCTGAGCTACATGTGCATTGAATCACTCACAACCGAAACACAATGAAGCTCCCTGTCCAACAAAATGATTGTGTGTAAGTTGGTAATACATTTGAAAGGTTGCTGAGTAAAAGCAGTGACAAACATGCTATACTGCACCAGAGATAATTAGATAGGAGCATGTTTTCTTTAAGGAATATTCCAGTTAGATGCAGTGTGGATTCCCCTTTGTGGGTGAACTGTAGGGTCTGCTAGTCCAACACATATTGTAACAATAAATGTTCATGTCTCATAACTAAAAACAGCACTAGAAAACACACCTGCCAAAACAACACTTTGTGGGGCTCCACAAAATCAATATCCCATCATGCATTACAGATTTACAGACTATATGTTGCGACAAGCGGTTGTCCAGAGCATCTTGTAGCAGGAAAACACTGGAGCATTTTAACAGACCTGCTTCTATCTCAAATGTATTCCGACATACATGGATCACCACCAGAGGTCCCTGTCCTTCCTCACACATCTACACCTTTCACTGTGCTGCTCCTCAAGATAAACAGTGACGCAGGTTCATTCCCACAATGCACCACCAGGGGGAGCACGAGTCCTTCCTTTGGAGGTGGAGACATCAGCCTCGGATCCAAATATTTTGTATAAATATAATTAAATCAAAAAGGATTCTGGCTACTTTATCAATGCTATACAGTAGGTATATCCACATGTGTTCCGATTCATAATGAATATTCCCAAAGCATGTAGATATAGAATAAATTATAATACAATGTATGGTCCTGTTGAATGGATGGAAATAAAGTAATCAAACATAACTTTATTCTGATCAAACTTCACACTAACAAAAACGCACAACTCAATCATGACACATTAAGGGTTCATTTTGTATTCAGCGTGCTGTTGATGCCCTGACAGCTGTGTTCTGCCTGCCTGTGCACAATGATAATAATATCAAATAAGCAAATGGCAACATGAATCACACTTTTAAAATGCCTTACACAGTATGTGTGTGACAGTCTCAGACTGTCTACTACTATGGGTTTTTGATATGGACAGGGCTTCAGCTGTGGACATATGATCTGCTTCTTAAGATAACATTTTAAAGTCATTGTATCAGACAAGACAATAATAAGTTAGTTATTTGTCTGCTTGCTCTTCAAAATGTACAAGGGGGACTTTACAGTTAATCAATCCGAACAATTGCTTTGTTGTTCAGCATCACTTATTTCTAATATACCAAGTAATACATAGACAATGGAAACATTAAGCTCTAATAAAATAATGCCAGTGTAAACAAGCTTCATTATCACACAACTTCCAAATATTGCACATACATTCATAAATATAGACATTAACTCTGTGCCTTTATGTTTATGCGTGTGGCTGCATCTGCGTGTGTGTGTGTGTGTGTGTGTGTGTGTGTGTGTGTGTGTGTGTGTGTGTGTGTGTGTGTGTGTGTGTGTACAAATCTTTATACAGCCCAGATAAATACAATCAGGGTGGGAAATAATTACATCTGAAGGAAAGGTTGACATGAGATGCACCTAAAGGACACTAACATATGTACAGTACCTACATGCACCCATACATAGACACACACACTCTCTCACTCACTCACAACAGCACATGTGCATACATCTTATGTCTACTTGCTTCAGCTACACACACACAGAAATGTTCAGAAACATTTAAAGCATTATCTTCACAACAAAGTCCATTCTGACGTCAGTCCTGGTGCTTCATCACCATAGATAAACAATGGGCATGTGTGTGTGTGATTGGGCCGGTTTAGTGTGTTTTGGTCCCACTCTGAACCTCGTTCTTTGGTCCCAGCCTGTGTGGCGCTGCGCTCTTCAGACTGTCAGTTTCATTACCATAGAGGAAGAGGACCTCCAGCCAAGGAAATTAAGATCCGACTAATACAGATCTCAGATCTGATTTAAATTACTCAGAAGGTTATCATCCCTCCCAAACCACAGTCTTTTGATAGTAGGTTGTCCCACATCTTCCTATGCGTCCCCTGTTTGATCAGAAGTCAGCTGCTCCTGGTCGGAGATGTCATCGTCAGCTGGGGGCCGCGCCCGGTCAAAGAAACCACACTGAGGGAATCACATTAACCCATTAGTGCCATATTGGATAATCAAACTACTACAAGGAATGCTGGATAATGTATGTTTTTACCTTCCACATGGCTAACGTTAGCATGGCAAGCACCAGCAGCCCCAGCAGTATGGCCAGGATGATGACCCAGAGGGGGACAGCAAAGGAGACATCAGGAGTCCCCCACAGCACCAGGGTCCCCATCTGTTGGACACGGAGAGATTCAGTTAGTATTTCTAGGTGCTGGTGTATTTCCTTTTTATAACACTCACACACTTCTGTTACTTACAGAGGAGGTGTGTTGAGGCAGACTGGAGGGTTGGATGCGGTAGGGCATGGCTGTGACGATAAAGGACACAGAAGAGTTGAGGATGTAGGGGTCGTTACGCCGCTGTAAGACATAAATAACATTATTATTTAAAATGTGCAATTTCAGCAATCACATGTTTTTATTATTGTTTTTGGCTCGTAAGACATTTATTGTACAATTACAACTTTGAGACTTAGCTTTTAAGACAACTTGGAGGAGAAGTCCCTAAAGTTCATAAATCATCATTTGGACAGCGATGATGACAAACAGGAAAATCATTCTGCTCACATAGAAGAAAAAGCTCATAAATGGAGAATTGACTTGCTTGAACGCTGCCTCTTTCTATCAAACATTCAAACAGCTTTTACACTACCCAGGGAGTTACAGCTGCCCCTCATGTTATCAAAATGTACAGAACTGCCACTAAATGGAACTTTAAGTGAATTTGCCTTTACAACCGCTGTTTTAAATGAAAAGCATCAAACAAATAATCAACTTCTAGACGACAGTTGAAAACACTGACCTGCAGGAAAGTATGAGCCCAGAGTCTCGAGCGGACCTTGACCACCGCGCTCTGCCCACGATCCAACCGGCCAACCACACATGTGATCCTCAGACAGGAGACGTTGGTGCAGTTCTGGAGAGAGGTAACAAAGAGCGGACAATATTATTGAGGGGTGTTTATACTTTTTGTCCTTCACATTTACTTACGTGAGAGGTCAGGAAGAATATTAGAAACACCGCTCTGAATTTTCCCATGACATTCTATACTATGAGTTTTTCAAGGACATTTTTCAAGGACATTTTTTAATGTACACGAAGGAGAGGCTCACCAAGGTTTTACCGCTGTAACTCTCAGCTGCAGTGGTGGCTCGTTTGTGGCGGTGATGAGGAGCGCTGGCGTTCCTCAAGAAACCCAACAGCTCAGGTGTGTCCTGGATAGAAGAAATCTGAGACAGAAAAGGAAAGTGTTAAAAAGACGTAGAAAACAAAGAAGAATACATGTTATGTTTCTCTCATACCAACAGGTCTCTATTTTATCTTAAAGCGAAAGCATGTGTTTGGGCTTTTTGAGGACAGTTATTTTTAAAAAACCTACTGATTATTAGATTTTGTGGTTAAGTATTGTCTGTGTTACACATGGGCTCTGATGAAGCACAGACAGCCAATGAGAAGGAGATGGTGGACCTGAGTGAGGACAAGGAATGCTTATAAAGTATGATTTTAAGAATGTAATAAAAGAACCCACCAGCTGTGGAAACATGTGTGCCATTTGGCGATTTAGAGAGATTTAATTTACTGATTGAAGCTCAAGCAGTTAAGATGACAGCAACCAACAAGAATCAATGATCTGATCTCACAAATACGAGATGACCGATTGGTTGTAGCTAGAGATTTGTTTTCCTCTGCCGAAAGTTTGGCTCAAAACAGGGAAATGTGAGAGCAAAACTATTTAAAACATTGAACACAATGTGGACGACATGCCTTGTTTACTCTTGTTTTTGGAAGCACAAAATAGCAACAACAACTGTGTCCATCTCTTCCTGCAACTCCAGCCCCTCCGGCCAATGTTTCAGGTATATAACTATTAAATAAAGTTTTACTAAAAGTCACCTTGCTTACATTTATTACCCCGAACACAGGGAAAACTGTGGTAATTAACCACTAGCCAGTCGAGTTTCCTAGGCTTTTTATGAATGGAAATGGCGGTGTGGGCTGGTGGGAAGCTGGTGAGGGGTCATGAGTTTCAGCAATAGTGGCTTCTACTGTTCAGCCTCAAACTATTTCGTTATTTTTCATTTAATATATATGTTTCTGATTTATTGATTTAGATGAAATGTTGGAAAATAACTACTGTCTGTCACAAGTTACCAGAGCCCCAATTAACATATTAAAATGTGTTCGTCCAAGTAACAACAAAGAGCCTATGTAAGTACTCCTCTTGCTGGTGAAAGAAGTGTCTGCTGACAAAATGTGTGTCAATCAGTCTAGTCCACACGGAGGAAATGACAGGGACACTGTGAAATGTTGAGCAGTTGAAAATGACCGAATCAGGAAGAAAGGAAAGAAAATAATCTCACTCTTAAACACGTGCTGTGACTTGTTTTCATATATGATTACAGCTAGCAGAATTTTAGTTTCTAACATAAGTATGCCCTTTTAGAAATCACTGTGTGTTTTCTTTTAGAATTACTCTACAGATGATATCATACACATTGGAAACAACTCCAGATCTAATTTCTGCTAATAAGCATAATGCTCCATCCCCAATCACTTAGAGCCAACTGGCAGAGAACATTGAAAGCAGTCAGAACAGCGTGTACAATTATGTTTTAAATAAGCGGGTTTATATGATGGAGAAATAAATGGATGAATAAGCCGCAAGCAAATATTAAATAAAAGTTCAGAAATGCAGTGGTTCTGGTGGTTTCACAGAAAGTGGTTAGAAATTCTACAAAGCATTTATTTGCACTGCAGGCAATATGGGCTTAATTATAAACTTGGATCTAAAATATGTGTTTGCATTCATAAGCTTGTCTATGTTTATACAATGTTTTGTTACCTGAAGGCCAAGTGGGTTGAGGCTGGTGTTCGTCCGGCAGCTAATTGGTCCGTCAGTTTTGATCTCCATGGCATACAGCAGGTTCTCGTCACGGAAACGGGAAGGCCAGCCGACCTGCAGCTCCGCGTCCTGAATACTGCTGGGACCAGAGTTATGGAGCTGGAGACAAAGAAGGAACAGAAAAAACACACAGAGATGTCAGCATTGAGCTTTCTTATGGCTTATTAGTAGGTCTCAAGTGACCAAGGCTATAATTAGGTTATCATAACTTTGGGATGATGACACGGGCCACCTGCGTTTTAGTGAAGATAATACCTTTTCCGGCTTTAGTCACTGGGGATTGAAATGGAAGACAAGAAAAACCTACAGCATCACCTGGCTCATCATTCCACACCAAAATCAGGATAAATGAGTTATGAGCTTAAATGAACCATCAATTCAATAAATCCTCATGTTCTACCCCATGACGTATATTCATCTCTCCACACACACACACACACACACACACACACACACACACACACACACACACACACACACACACACACACACACACACACACACGGTAATTAACACTAAAGCAAGTCATCCAAACAGGACATGATCCTGGTGCTGCAGGGCAGGAATTCTGCAAGAGCAAAAAAAAAAAAACCCTGTCCTCTCTAAGTAGAAGCAGCTGCTAACTGGGAAAAGCACCGCAAATGAAAATCATTATCAGCTGCAGGACAGGCCAGACACGGCTGCACTCGGGTTCAATGA